AATACACTTTCACAGTCCAATACAATACAATCCTGCCAATTACATGTCGAGGAATCCTGAGGATGGACAACACTCAGGCAACTGTTCGGAAAACGCAGAAAGACACGTCAACTTCATAATTGACAATACAGTCCCAAAAGCGATGACTTTGGATGAAGCACAACACGAAACAAAGAAAGAATCTGTTCTACAAACAGTGATAAAAGAGTTGAAAGGAAAAGCCTGGACTAGACGTTGTCACGATTCCAAAATTATTGTTCCGATACCGATACCAAGTCAAGAATCGCGATTTCGATACTTTTCCTGAAAAGGAAAGTATTTCTTACAGGGCGTTTCACATGCATCTCCTTTGCGTAGGTCTGTGCTCTTTAAATGCTGTAATAACCTACTATAAATAAATCACTGACAAACATGCACATGCTCTGATTATAATCATATAGCCTATTAATCATTTTAGCATGTTTTATATGCTTTATTTTTGCAGCTTGCAAATTATTTATGCTATCTATGAAAGTTGGGGTGAAAGTTGTAGAGCTAATACAAAAATAAATAAAACATCTCCAGCTAAATAGCAGATAATTAATTTATTTCGCTATTAAATAAGAGATATAGCGCTAAAATCTGTTGTTTTTTAAATCAAGCAGAGCGCTCTTTTTTGCTGCTATAAGTTGCATTGGCTTTTGCGGCTCGCGCACCGTCTTCATTCGGACGCGTGCTTCATTCCAACAACGTTGCAGAGACTATTGTATACAGGCCGCCGGATGTTGTTGCTAAGAACTTGCAAAGTATAATTATTTGACAGGTCCTCGCGGCCTCGAAACACTACCGGCCCACCGGGAAAAGTCCTGAACCTCCGGATTGCCACGGATCACCCCGGATCACTTGTGCTCACGCATGCAGCCGTGTCGCTGTAGTGTTTCTCTCATGACAGCTGCAGCTTCTTTGCTGCGTGCATGAGAAAAAAACACGGACGTCCATAGGGAGGGACTGGACACACCAACATGGAATACGTCTCTTACAAATCTGGAACGCGGTCATTCATAAAAGTATCCATACTAATAAATTTAGGTATCGTGAGGTTTTTAATTTCCAAATATCGCAATACTTTTGAAGTATCGGTGTATTGTGCAACACTAGCCTGGACACACTTGAAGCAGGCCATGAAAGACGCATGCCACGCAAAACCAGCCATTTCATAAGCTGAGACTCAGTTAAAGCATTTCAAGACATTGTCCTCAGAGGGAATAGACTTGTTCTACCTACCTGTATCAAAAAGCAACTTGCACATGTAGGACACATGGGCATTGTGAAGACTAAACAGCTGGTAAGAGAAAAGGTACGGTTCCCGGGTATGCAGAATCGGAAAAAGCTGTGCAAGGATGCATTCTGCTGAAAAATCCAGCTAAAACCAGCCTAGGCTGGTTGGCTGGTCTTAGCTGGTTTAAGCTGGAAGTAGCTGGTTTTAGTTGGTCACCCAGCCTGGCTTAGCTGGTCAAGCTGGTCTCCCAGCCTGACTTAGCTGGTTAAGCTGGTCTCCCAGCCTGGCTACCAACTCGACCAGCTAAGACCAGCCTGACCAGCTGAAAAAGTGTTCAAAACCCCTCTAAAACCAGCCTGATAAACCAACTAACCAGGCTGGGAGACCAGCCAAAACCAGCCATGGCTGGTTTTAGCTGGATTTAAGCAGCCACACTCCAGCATCACGCGGAAACCCCTCAAAAGGTCTGATCTGCCAATAGAGCCATGGTTAGAAGTCTCTGAATCTGTGGATTTGACTGGTCCGTTTCCTTCTGGTGAGTATTTGCTGGTAGCAGTTTGCGATAATTCCAGATGTCCAGAAGTGGAGATAATCAAGTCTACAGCAGCCACTGCTGTTATTCCCAAACTGCAGAAGATATTCTCAACTTTTGGCATACCCAGCACAGTCAAAACTGACAATGGCCAACAATTTAATAGTCACTGTTTTGCAGATTTCAATTCATATCTTGGTTTCAAACAGAAAGATAACCCTGTACTGGTCTAAAGCAACGGTTCATGAGAACGCTTAAAAACAGTCATGAACACCAATGCAGAAGATAAACCATGAAAGCATGTTGCAGAGCAACTAATTAAAAGATATGCAGATCTTCGGAACAGAGCAAAAGAATCCAGGATCAAGTCAGGTGACGTTGTACTCTGCCGACAACCCTCAACAGGAAAGTTGATGACTCCATAGCCCCATTCACCCAGTGCGTTGATCCCGGGAAATTGCCAGAATGCCTTCTGTGTGAACGCAAAAACGACCCGGGATTGATCCCGGGTTGGGGACCTAGTAACATTGCCGGGATCAGTACCGGAACGCAAGCTGTGTGAACAAAAGCCAGGACCAATGCCGTAAGCGCTCGTGCGACTCTGTTGCTCTTAGAAGAAAGTTTGTGTTCGTCATCAACAAAGAAAAGACGAACAAATACCTGCAAACTGGAGCGAAGCAGAGACCAGGAGCTTCTCACTATCCGCGCTGATGCTGAGATCGTTCACCAGCTTTGTGGAACGGTATGTGAAATGAAGAGGTTCGATAGTAGACTAATTTTAATGGATGTGAAACGCAGCAGGCAGTCGGTCAGAACTGTATAAGATGAGGCTTAGTTGAACAGACACACCAGGCAGGGTTCAAACTTCACTTATTTACTGAAGAGCTGGTTGATTTACATATGGGGTATGTAGGTGTGGTTCTATAACAAATTAAACAAAGAAATAAATATTAGCATACATATACATCATTAATAATAAACATTATTAACAGCATTCAGTCTAACAAACCCATTAAGGAAGTGCTATCAGACAATAATAATTCTAAACATCACCACAAGGAGGTGCTAATAGCACATAAATGCGTTTAACTAGACATTCCATATGCTCAGTATACGGCGCTGATTACCTCATGATAATGATCATCTCTAAAGTAACCGTAAAACTAATAATAACATAATGTCTCATACATAACATAAAGTAACATGCAGAATCTCCGAAAAATTACTAAAGAAGAAGTAATACAGGCAGATTTATGCCAATCAGGTATCGCTCGCGCTAATGAACATCGTCTAACAGTTTCTGCATACTAACGGAAAAACTTGGAAATATAAACTTACTTGGTATGTACGCACACAGCGACTCAATGTATATGTAAACCAGCTGAATAATCGTCGAACACTACAGATTAACTAAACTGAAACTGTCAAGTATCTTAACTAATAATTATGATGCGTCTTCTCTCTCCGACTGAATCCACCTCAGCACCAATTCACCTCAGCACGAATGTCACTATAGCAACCTTGTACTCTATGATTGGTTGAAATCGTCCAGGACATTTAAAGGTATCCGGGCCTTTTGTACAGTATGCGCGTGTACATGTTTTCGACGCGAACGTTACACGTCTCATCCTGACGTCATGTGTCTTTCCGGGATTTTTACGGGTTGTGTGTGAACGCACTCACAGATCCCGGCAAATCACTGGCAGTGTGAATGAACCGAAATCAAACAATCCCGGGACAAATGCCGGGTCACATTATCCGTGTATTTTCCGGAATCTCTGTGTGAAAGGGGCTCATATGAGATACAACTCTACAAAGTAATCAAGGTCAAAGGGTCATTGGTGACAGCAAGTCGTTCAGGAAGATGCATTACAAGAAATTCCTCATTTCAACAGACTACCATCTCATCTCAATGTCGAGCAGAACGAAACCACTGATGACGAAGATGGCATCAGAGGACAAGCTCAAAATTCAGACATGTTTCAGGACAATATACCACAAAGCACACGGTACACTACCGCAGCCCTAAAACACTCTGACTTTTCACATACCCCTCGACACTACCTGAGACCAAATCGCAGACACCAACCAAGATATCTGATGTAAAACGTTGTTTTCAACATGCTTCTACCCGTGCAAGTATTCTTTTGTTTTGTTAAATATTTCTGTTTTCAGATTTTGACATGTTCTAATAATGATAGCCTGAGACAACTAAAAGACCTCAAACTTACTTTTTCATGTTTTTTTTTTCGTTTGATTTTACACAATATGGTCTATAGTTTAAAATCTTGTACTCTAATTACATCTTCATTTTCGCATAAGAGAGGAATGTAGTGTTCGCATTTAACTCCATGTTTTCTGTTCAACATTGGACTGTGATGTAAGCACATATAAGTACGAAAGAAAGCGAACGTGATTGTCATGTGGTACAAGTGAATAAAAGTAAAAAGTAAACTGCACATTTGAGAGCAACTCTTCCTGTCTGTGAGCTTCCGCTTGTTAGACAAGAAAGACATTACTTCAAAATTAAATTGTAAATTATCATCCTTTCATAGTAAAATTCATAATATTATTTGTGGCGAAGGGGGAGTGGTTCAGCGAGGTCTGCAATGGGATATGTCATATGCAGGTTAGCTGATAGTTAGCTGATTAAACAAATGTCAAACAGAGTGGAAAAATAATACTGTTAATTAGTTAAAACTAGGGCTGTGCAAAAATTAATTGCGATTAATCGCATCCAAAATAAAAGTCTGTGTTTACATAATATATTTGTGTGTGCTGTATATAATTATTTTGTATATATAAATACACACACATGCATGTATATATTTAAGAAAATGTGTTATTCATATATAAAATATTTATATTTATATAATATAGATTATGTATTTATTTATATATACAGAATTTAAGTGCAAATAATTATTAAATATATACATGCATGCATAGGTATTTATATATACAAAATAATTATATACAGCACACACAAATAAATTATGTAAACACAGACTTTTATTTTGGATGCGATTAATCGCAATTAATTTTTGCACAGCCCTAGTTAAAACATAAAGAACAATGTTTGATAATCTTCTGCCTTAAATTGTTTTTGTTTGTTTCGTGAAAGAGTTCAGAGCCCTGTTTATAAGACAGATAGCTTATGGCAAAGTATGATCAAGATTAACCCGCTTATTGAGTTTCAGCCAAGTAGAAAAGCCCTTGCTGTCCTGATACTGCAGTCCAAAGTACCAGATCTCTCGGAGTCCAATAGTTTTCACAACCTTCAAAAGGACAAACGTAACGATGTCACTAATTGTTCACTCTTTAGGGTCTATATGTCATGTTGCATTTTTTTACTTTTGTCTAAATTCCATGTGAAATACATACTTGGTCAAAGAGATGTTTACCAGATGTACTGGGCTGAATGGCAAACTCCAGCTCAGCATCCATTGTAGTGACCCGCACGTTTATCTGAAAAGAGCAAATACATTTTGTGCAATAATATATGGCATTGTTAAAAGCATTGTAAAAGGACCTGTGGATAAGGTCCACAGCAATCGCCCCAACAAAATGTTAATAAACTTGGCTTTAAGTTAAAATGTATTTTATTAACAAGACATTTTAAAAACATAAACATGACAGTAGATAAAAAATAATAATGCAATTATGTTTGTATTTTGCTTCTGATAATATCAAATTCAGAAATGGAGAAAATAAAAGTGTGGACTAGCTTTGTCACTTCGCAAACTGCATGCAAAATTGAAAAAGAATAATTATAATCTCAGGGGTTTTCCTGGCTCAACACGAGGCTGAGGTGGTAAAATGCTAATAATGTACATATTTTAGTTATTTTTATAATAATAATTGTATTTTGTTTCTTTTTTTTTTCCCGAAGACTATCATATATACGGAGGCTTATTGCATTCACTTGAAGAAAAAAAATCTACTCTGTTTTTCTGAATTAACGAGTTAATTTTTCATGAGAAAAAATTTTTTGCTCTGTTTTTCTGAATTAATGAGTTAATTTTTCATGAGAAAAAAAATTTTGCTCTGTTTTTCTGAATTAACGAGTTAATTTTTCATGAGAAAATTTTTTTGCTCGGTTTTTCTGAATTAACGAGTTAATTTTTCATGAGAAAAATTTTTTTGCTCTGTTTTTCTGAATTAATGAGTTAATTTTTAATGGAATTTTTTTTTTGCTCTGTTTTTCTGAATTAATGAGTTAATTCAGAAAAAACAGCAAAAATACATTTTCTCCTGAAAAATTAACTCATTAATTCAGAAAAACAGAGCAAAAACTTTTTTTCTCAAGAAAAACTAACTCATTAATTCAGAAAAACAGAGCAAAAACTTTTTTTCTCAAGAAAAAACTAACTCATTAATTCAGAAAAACAGAGCAAATTTTTTTTTCTCAGGAAAAATTAACTCATTAATTCAGAAAAACAAAGCAAAAACTTTTTTTCTCATGAAAAATTAACTCGTTAATTCAGAAAAACAGAGCAAAAAAAATTTTTCTCATGAAAAATTAACTCGTTAATTCAGAAAAACAGAGCAAAAAAAATTGTTCTCCTGAAAAATTAACTCGTTAATTCAGAAAAACAGAGTAGATTTTTTTTTTCAAGTGAATGCAATACGCCTCCGTACATATAACCTACTTTGTTTCCCACAGTATTGTGTGTGGACCTCTGCACCCCTAGGGGCATGCTCCCCCAGAAGAAAAGTTTGTATGTTTTAAAGATAAATTCATAAATATGGTGCACTTTGAAAGTTTAAAATTAAGTAGGCCTAACTAATTTTGTGTCTGCAATGAACCTGTTTTGTAGTAGGCTGTATGGAGAGCGCTCACCGCTTGACAACAGTGTTTTCAACCATATAATGTTTATTTTAGGTTTCAGACATTTAAATTCACATTTAATTGTCACAGTTACTAAACAAGCAATACATTTAGAGTTTGTCAAATACACACTTATGTCTATGGAAGCGGCAATAATAATTGTTTCCATTATAATTAGACGACACGTGTCATCGTTGTGCGAGTAACTTTCTCCCAGTTCACCTGCCACTTACTTTCATGTAGCCTATATCAGGAGGAGTGGATAAATAGACGTTTGTTAAATCCAACAGATCCTTGTCTCTAAAATGCGGTATCAACTAACGCCCATCGCGTATCCACTTGCAAAACACATCCACTTGCACATATTTGACAATAGGGATATCAGATATTTCCCGCTATAGCCAACAAATTGAAATAAAAGCAGATAATCAGTCATTCAGCGATATTGTAGCTGCGGTGTGACAAGCGATGACGCGTCACTATGGAAACCATAAAGGGATACGATCTAAATAACGGGAGCCTCTAAACACTTAACTTACGTGTGAAAAGGTTACGTAAGACTTGCATTTAAATGTGTCGTTGTTTTGTTTTGAGTTTATGCTCAATAAAAAAAGGGATTAATAGAGATGGGCACAAAATTTACCTCATTTTCTCCCGTTTGTCTCCCCACACTGGTCATGTTTCTAGTCCCCACCAGTGGGGCGCGCACCACACTTTGAGAAACGCTGCTCTGGCTAGAACTAATCTGAACTGAGGTAAAATAGCTTTTAAATACACTACACCTTCAGAATGGCACTCTCTTCAAATGAAATTGAGGCTAAATCACATGGTGTCTTTAGCAATTTTAAAACATTGCACTAGAAAAAGATTTAGTGATTTGCAAGGCTGTACTTTTTAATGATGTATTTTAGTGTTTTATTGTTGTCTGTTATATGTGTATTGTATAACTGGGCTGCCTATCTTGGCCAGGACACTCATGTAAAAGAGATTTTAACAACAGTTTTGTTTAGCCTTTATTTAAACAGAAGAGAACCTCGCTGAGATTAAAATCAAACAACAATAAAACCCAATAAGACATCATTAAATGTATATATAATATTTTTTTCTTAAGCATGTATACATATAGCCTATGAATTAGATAAAAAAAATAAAGGGTAAGTACAATTAGGTTTCGTTAGTTAACATGAACTAAGAGTTAACAATACTTCTACAGCATTTATTAATCTTAGTAAACGTTCAACATTTACTAATACATTATTAAAATGACATGATATGTTAATGCACTGTGAACATGAACAAACAATGAAAAGCTGGGTTTTTATTAACATTAACAAAGATGAATAAATACTGACACATATGTATTGCTCATTGTTAGTTCATGTCATTTAATACATTAACTGGTGTAAATAAATTAGAACTGATTGTAAAGTGTTTTTAAATAAAATATAGGCTAGTACAATAAATTACTGCTTTAACAAAGTCATAGTTGTGTACTATGAGGTCAAGATTTTTAAATAGGAAAATTATCTGTATTATGGTAAGAATAAATATATAATGTTTACTTACAGACATTTGACTATATTTTAGAGCTCCTGACTGTGTCCTTGTAGTGGTCTGCTCTCGTCAGAGTCATATGAAAGGACTTGCAATATTTCCCAGGATTACCCTTAGTTAATGTGGTCCATTGTACCTCTAATCCAATAGCAGCCCTGGAATCTCTTTTCGGATTAAACGCTGAAATTAACCTCAGGAAAAATAAATAAATAAAAAGGAAATAAATAGAAATCAAATTGACAGTATGCAATTTTTTATTGTTGAGGTTCAACACAAGGGCACACTGCAGACTACAGACATGTAGTCAGTTGGAGAATAGTTATTTGAAGCGTTTTCCATGATGTGTAATCGCCAGAGGTGGGCACAAATACATCAAAAACTATTTTGTTACAAAATACAAATACTGGCTCATGAAATGTAACAAAATAAAATACAAAATACTGATGTAAATATTTAAATAAAATACAAGTAATAAGTATTTTGAAAATACAAAAATACTCCCACAAGTATTTTAATCTTTTTTTTTTTTAATTACTGACAGGTCAATAGCACAAATAGTAGCAATAACACAAATATGATAAATGTGTCAATTCAAAATGGCGAAGTAGCAAAATAAAAAAGTATGTGCATTTCACTAAATCTCTACAGGGCCTGAAATTGCTCCCTCTGACATAAATGGCATGTATAGCTATAAGTTCACATCAATGGTGTGGTAGTTTTATACAAAAATCGAACAATATTTCTCATATATGTTATACGTTTATATTTTGAACGCTTGTTTAGCATGGAGATTTCAGTGGAGTTACGACAGATGCACTGTTTCATAATAGGTAGGGTCTATGATGTCCTTTTATGAATGGGTGTCTATTTCACAACACCCACCCCCTGTCGGTGATTGGTAACTTGGAGCATTGTTTATTTAGGTTTTGGTGGTTGGTGAAACCCATTGTTTTTGTGTGCAGATCTCAGAGCCTAGGCTGCCTACAGAGACATGGTTTTTGGACGGCATGCTTATGGGGCGGGCAGCTATAGCGGATCCTTGGAAAAATGAGATGAATGTGATAATTTATGTTTCTGCCTTTTTTGGGCCTGAAATCGCTGATAGCACTTTTAAAGGAGTAGTTAAAAAAAAAAAAAAAAAAAAAAAAAAAAAAAAAAACACCTTTAGCTGATAATTTACTCACCCCCATGTCATCCAAGATGTCCATGTCTTTCTTTCTTCAGTTGAAAGGTTTTTGATGAAAAAATTTCAGGTTTCAGGATTTTTCTCCATATAATGGACTTAGATGGGACCCAAACGGTTTATGGTCCAAATGAGAGTTTCAGCAGTGTTGTAGTCGAGACCACCTCACTCGAGTCCGAGTCGACACCGAGACCAGAGAGAGTCGAGTCCGAGTCAAGACCGAGTCCATAGAGAGTCGAGTCCGAGTCGAGTCCGAGACCAGAGACGGTCGAGTCCGAGTCGAGACCGAGACCAGTGAGGGTTGATTACCTAATTTACTTTTATTTATTTAGAGAAATACTTTTTTTTTTTTTTACTGAATTTACTTAGAGTTTAAAAAATATGATCAGTTTAGGGTAAAAAAGGCCACATAGTAGGTGGTGTTAAAAGTAATTTTATTAAAATTTGTCATGCACAGTTGTGCACTAGAAAATCACCAATCACTGGGCGTTTCAATCAATTTAAAGAAATATTTTATTAACATACATTAATAATCATGAAAAATATTTTTAATTGAACTTGAGTGGACTCGGGAATAATTCCGAGTCCTAAAAAAAAAATGTTCGAGTACGAGTCAATTCCGAGTCCAAATGGACACAAATCCATGACAAGACCAAGACCATTAAAATATGGTCTCGAGACCGAGTCCGAGACGAGTCCGAGTCTCGAGTACTACAACACTGAGTTTCAGTGCACCTTAAAACGATTTCAGACGATGAATAAGGGTCTTATCAAGCGAAACGATCTGCCATTTAAAAAATAAATAAAAAAGTTTAAGTTTTATAAGCACAAATGCTTGCCTTGCTCTGTTCTGTGAGACCTTTTCAACGTAATTGTATATTATGTGATGTCACGAACACACATTTTCTGGTATCCTTTAAAGCCCTTTGAAGCTGCACTGAAACTCTCATTTGGACCTTGAACCGTTTGGGTCCCATTGAAGTCCATTATATGGAGCCTATGTAGCAACCTCAAGTCAGGGGGAGGGGATACGCCACTCTACAGTAATTTGAAAGTGATTGCAGTACCAGTTATGGCCACAATATTATTTATGGCTCCATCAAGTGTCCCTTTAAAGTCTGCCAGGTATTTAAATCTGTTACTGCAGTGTGTCAGTACGAAATATTGGTTTACATTTTCAAACATTCCTTTTGCCATTAATTGTAATAAACCTGTGGTATCTTTGTATGCACAAGCAGTCTGATCTCATCATCAAGTCTGTCTGTGATTACATGAAGAAACAGAAACACTAAGAAAGATTAAATCCAGAATATCTGCGTCAACATCTCCAAGACACCTGAAGAAACCTTCCACAGTAAGTTTTGTACTGTTTTAAAACATAATGCCAAAAATATATTTGATTTACTTAACTTCTATTAGCTACATAAAACCAATACTTGGTGTGACCAGACTTTGCTTTTGTCCAGGTTGCTAATAGTTTTTCAGGTAGCTTTGCAGGAAGGTTTCTTCAGGTGTCTTGGAGATGTTGACGCAGTTCTTCTGTATTTAATCTTTCTCAGTTTTTTCTGTTTCTTCATGTAATCACAAGAATGACAAACTTTACTTGAATGAAAAAAACACAGTGGGATAATCTGTATAATGCTACTTAAAATGTTAGAGGTACAGTAACAAGTTTAAAAAGCAAAGTTCTAACTAATGCTCATTTCTTATTTTTTTTTTAAGAAAGACACCACCGTAAAAACAAACAAACTGGAATGTTCATGTAAACCATAAGGGCTTTCAAGATGCAAAGACCCCACAAACCTTGTGAAGGAGTACTTGGTAAGTTATTTAGGCTACTTAAAAAAAAAAAAAAAAAACCTCACCAACTCTCACTTTCAGTTGGTTTACAACCAACTCTCACTTTCACCCCAGATCTTTTATTAATTGTTTCTATTTGTATTTTGTACTTTATGAAGTTGAAAATGATGAAACTTCACTGCGCAACACCACCCTAGCATTCCATCATACACGAAGGGGCAGATGCTACAAACCCTTACGAAGATGTTGGCATTATCATTGAAGGCGCCCAAATGCTCAAAAACCTGAACAATGTGGCAAAATTCGTCACGCATAGAAACCTTGCACACCGAGTCCGTTGCGTATTTCTTAAATGAGGATGATTTGCCCTCTCTCTTATTGAAAAGAGAAGAAAGAGAAAATATTACGTCCATCCAATCCTGAAATTGCGCCGAGAGGAAGGAGAGTTCCACCTTATCAGAGTTGCAAATTTATCCTGAGCGATTCAAAATTTACCTCAGAATGTCAGTGGGACAGTTTGATGCTTTGCTAGCGATTCTGAAGCCACATATTAAAAACAAGACCACCAATTTCCGTGAACCAATCGATTCTGAACGGAGACTGGCAGTGTGTCTGGCATGGACCAGATATGGACACACACACACCCGTATATTATTGTATATAGTGTATATTATTGGATATTGTGCCCAAATAATACATTAGTTATCGAATAAGCTGCTCAATCACACCTTATTCGATCCTAAATTTCAATCTGATTGAAAGGGGAGGTTTGATAAATTTCATAATCCAAATCCAATATAGAGAAGAGAACATAAACACTTGAACGAATTGAAAACCGAAACTGAAAGCACGGCGCATATGTGCAATGATTTGAGGACGAGCTCCCCCCGGCCCTGAATTGTCAAAAAACCTCTCAAAATGCTGGCTCTGGATGCGAAAAACGCAGAAAATCGAACCCGATCCGATTAATTTTGTGACGGACGAAAGTTTCGGAGGCGGTGTGCAAGCGTGACTGACATAACGTGAGGTTGAATTTTTTTTTAACGTGCGAAAAATTCGGATGCGAATTTCGGACTCAGTGTGCAATGGCCAGCTTGTTCTGTGATGCTTGGTCTACACTTTAAACTTGGCTTACCCACAAGACCCGAGGTACACTTTTGAAGTATTTCAAAAGATTTAATGGCACTAGATGCACACAAGCTTTCAAACAAGGTCCAGGTCCTGAAAAATAAACTCTTTTCGCAAACGCTGTAACTTGATGTCAGGACCGAGAGCCAGGAAGGCGTAATGGAATTTGTTTTCTCCATAATGTTGCACTGATGTTTGGCTGTTGCAGTATATACATTTATGTACATAATACTGTTTTTTTTTCTTATGCAATTAAATAGAGGCAAAAGAAGACTGCTATTATTTTTCAACACTTGTACGTGAATATTTTATAAAAATCTTTAATTTAAAGACAGAATGCTTTTATTTATTTTATTTTCTTGTAATAAGGAATTTTTCACATTTTGAAAAGTAAAGTTAGTCTTTTGAGATTACAGATTTTGTATAAGTTATTCGTTTTGGAAAAAAGTGTAAAGTAGATGCCTTTGAGTTTGACCTTTTGAGATCACAGATTTTGTACAAGTTATTCCTGTTGGAATTTTTCTGTTGTTGAAAGTTTTCAGAATTGTTATTGAATGGATTCAATAAAACAAACTGTAACAGAATGAAAATGGATTATTTATTTTGGATGAATTAAAAAAAGATAATTTTAGGATAATTGTAGTTAATTAACTTTATTGTTTAAAAAAAAACCAAGATTGTGAAGTTGAACTAAATAACATTACATAACATTTAACTTAAAGGATTAGTTCACTTTTGAAAAAACTTTTGCTGATAATTTACTCACCCCCATGTCATCCAAGATGTCCATGTCTTTCTTTCCTCAGTTTTTGATGAAAACATTCCAGGATTTTTCTCCTTATAATGGACTTCCATGGGAACCAGGTCCAAACGACAGTTATAACAGTTACAGATGCAGCTTCAAATGTCTTTAAACGACACCAGACGATGAATAAGGGTCTTATCATGCGAAACGATCGGTTATTTCAAAACTTATTCCAAAAATGTAACTTTTCTAAGGACAAATGCTAGCCTTGTAATATATTGTGAGGCGCGTTTGCAACGTCACGTAATACGTAATTACGTTTAAAAGGTCACGGGCGACGTAGCCGGAAGTACAGAATCAAAATCGTCCGACATCGTTGTTTTACCTTTTAATTCCTTTTTTGTAAACGGCGTTTTCACGTTCAACCTATGCGTTCAACTTGTAAACACTGTACTTCTGGCTACGTCGCCCGTGACCTTTTGAACGTAATTACGTATTACGTGACGTTGCAAACGCGCCTCACAGAATAGAGAAAGGCTAGCATTTGTCGTTAGAAAAGTTACATTTTTGCAATAAGCTTTGAAATAACCGATCGTTTCGCATGATAAGACCCTTATTCATCGTCTGGTGTCGTTTAAAGACATTTGAAGCTGCATCTGAAACTGTTATTAACTGTCGTTTTGACCTCGGTTGGACCTGGTTCCCATTGAAGTCCATTATAAGGAGAAAAATCCTGGAATGTTTTCATCAAAAACCTTAATTTCTTTTCGACTGAAGAAAGAAAGACATGGACATCTTGGATGACACGGGGGTGAGTAAATTATCAGCAAAAGTTTTCAAAAGTGAACTAATCCTTTAAGTAATTTACTTACTGAAAGTTTACCGAAATAAATAATGTTACTTAAATCCAACATAACCCAGTTCTGTGCATTCTGTTGACATAAAAAAAGTTAAGTTAGTCCAACATCATTTTTTTGAGTGGACACTAGCGAAAGCAGCACTTGAATCTGAACAAATTACCATTGTCATGGGTTTGACTTTATATCCACTGTAATGCAAACATGATTGCCTTCATTTTTGCTGCATACACCACTAAATGATCAGTTAATCTTTTAAACAACTTCATTTTTAATTCTGGAATGTATAAAGCACAGCTTGATTTTCCGTTCTCTGGATTTTTAGACCCATCCGTGAATAAATATACGTAATGCCCATGTCTCTCACGCAGCACTATAGTGTTCACATAAGCTTGCATATCAAATTATTTTACTAAAACTAACCAGTTTCAGTAGAGAAAGATCAACTCTGAGGTAATAACCATGGTGGGAACAGCTGGCATTAAAATAGTTAGACTGGCGACCCAATCGTTGATTCCTAACTCCTTTGTTACAGTATATCCAATTACATTCCTAAATACTTCACTCTTTCTAACATTTGATTGTACAATTTCAAACAAACATCTTCTTTGATTTTCTTTCTTGTAAAAAAGATGGATTGAGATTTCTCGACAGATCATTTAAATCCCCAATTCAAAGACCAATCTTCAACCACATTAACAGCTTACAACAAAGTCCATATTCCACCCTTGTTTCCAAATTGCCCCATCATCAGCAAAAAGTGATTTCCCAATGTCAGCATTAACATTATAATACACATTATTATTTATCATGATCATTGAAAACAGTATTGGACTTATGACGCTCCCCTGAGGGGTGCCATTTTCAACTAAAAATGTATCTGATATAGAGTTCCCTATATGAAACTGAATGTATCTACCAAATGATACATTTTACCACCAATACCCATTTTATCTAGCTTTATTAACAAACCTTCCTTAAATCATATCATGCGCTTTTTCAACCTAAAAGAAAACAGCTACTCCCGCCTCTTTATTTGCTTGAGCTTTCCTAATATCTTTTTCCAAGCATATTAAAGGGTCCAGAGTATTACACCCCTTCTAAATCCACTCTGAAATGGTGAAAACAGCTCATTTGACAAGATACAGTCTTCTTCTTGCTATTTTACGGCTGTTGGCATCCAACTTATTGGTGCATTTCCACCACCTTCTGCGTGGAACAGAAAATAGGTTTACAGACCAAATCCCCCTCCCCCACTCACACACACAGGAGAGAGAAAGAGAGAGACCCACGATGACTAACAGGGGACTCATATGCCTCGTTTCCACTGAGGGGTACGGTATGGTACGGTACAGTACAGTACGGGTCGGGTACCCTTACTTGATAGGCGTGGTATGCTGGAAAGAAGCGATCGACGTCATTTTCGCGCGAAGAAAACGACATAGTAAACAACAATGGATGACAGACAGCAGATCTTGTTCTTGCTTCTCGGCATGTTTGTGAAGCCAACGCAAAGTCCGACTCAGGAGAATGATCCCGAGGACGCGAGTCCGGTAATTCAACAGCGCGTTCTTGAACGCGGCACTCAGCTCGCTCTGGCTATGCAACTCCGGTTATCTCTGTATGTTCATTTTAGGAAACAATAAAACGAAATATGTTATAAAACACCACTCTGCTTCTTTTCGATTTCATTTCAATACATTTTAAACATTCTAAAGCACACAAATGTGCAACGCATAGCATTGATTAATATATTCACTGCATGTAACGTTATTTATAACAAAACTAAATATAAAACAACCCTGCCTCTTTTCGTTTAAATGTAAAAATATTAAACATATTCCATATTAAAAATATGTAGCCTAATGTATTGCATAGGCTATCGCATTGGTACAAATGTTGCAATAAACAACATTACAGATGATCTTGTAATAAAATAATGACAAAACTATCTATTTTTGTTGAATTTCAGTTTTATCAATAATAGCCATTATAAAAGTATAAGTAAAAAGTACAAAAAGATATACAGTAAAGCTTAAATAACATCAAGAAACAATTCAGTCAGTCAAATATACTCAGCGCTCAAAGATATGAAACTTCACGTAGCCTTCTGCCAAAACTATTGGCCAGGGAACGAGTTATAAATTCACGAGACCAAAGATCACCTGTTAGGTTTATACAAGACGAACTATATCTCATGTTTAACCACTACAGAGACGTCAGAGTCAGCGTCAAATATCAGAACGACTAGCCGAAGAAAAGGCTGCTTCAGGCGGGGGACACGAGCGCGAGCGTCCGGTGATCGCTTAGAATGGATCTCAGTCAAATTATCATAACTCTATAAATAAACCACAGATTTGACCTTTAAAAAACTACTTTCTCGCCTGAAAAACTCTTAAAACTACATTTCGTGACACAATAACAGTAGAATTATAGGTAACACTTTAAAATAATGGTCCATAGTTAACAAGTAGCTATGCAGGAAGTAATATAGTACTGCATTAACACCGAACTTAATACTATTAACTAATATGGAAGCAATATTAACCCTTGTGCTGCATTAGATTTTTAACACCGTTGAGTGCATTAAGGACCAACAATGGCCACATATTAAACATTGCCTAAAATATTATATATTATTATTATTTTCCACTTTTACCAAGTGAAATATTTTAACCAGCATCAGTCCTCATCATAACTACCAAAAATGTATTCAATTTCAGGATTTTAACCCTTTAATTACCAGTTTTGTTTGCGAAACCATCAATTTGTATAAGAGGAAAAAACACAAAAATTCAATTATTTTCAATAAACTAAATGCAAAGAGAAAACTTTAGATTTGGATTATCACAGTCCCACTTTGCAAAAAATCCCACTTAGCGCGTTAGAGACCAAAAATGGCCACCTATTAAACATTGCCTATTGCCTATAAAATAAGGTGCATTTCCACCCATAGGGAATAAATATGTAGTGACGTCATCTGGTGGAATACACTATATAATGCAAATATAATGCTTTTGCTTCGAAAGGAAATCATGTTTCATGTATTTCTGACAGCCTCAGATTTAAACAACGTTTTAATGGGTTTCAATGGGCCATTTTTGGTCTTTATGGTGCTGAGTGTTACTATTTGATCTACACAGTGTGTGCTATACATATTTTGCAAAATGGGATCACATTTTTTACATGCATCCAAAAAGTCACAATTTTGCCAAATTGCATACCATTTGCATTAAAACAGCCAAAATGGTCAAAGAAATTAAACTGCAAAAGACCAAAAATGTCCCTAATGCAGCATAAGGGTTAACTAAGCATCAAGTAATAGGTAATTTAGTACAAAGGTAGTTCCTTGGTAGGTATTTGATTGTTACTAAAGAAATATATCCTCATTAAGAACTACTTGTGAACTAAGAAATAATAACCAATTAATTACTAATCACAAAAGTACCATGTCTAAAAAGTGAACAATTGTGGGGGTTTTACTCTTAACATGATCATAACATTTCAGAAGCATGTGCCTCAAATGGGTTCTTTGTGGAAACCAGTTTATGAAGTTTATATATCCTCCCAAATACATTAGCTAGGTTGAGATTGTGACCACTACTCTTGCCAGGATGGACGCATGTTCTCTGTTTATTTAAATCTTAAACATAAAATAATCCTAATAAAGACAGTTTTTAAAAATAAATCTTAAATAATTAGGAAGTGATGCTGACAATCTCATGATTGGATTAGTTCACTATTATGAGCTCTATTGAATGTCAGTCACATATATCTCAGACTCCAAAGACCTATAACTTTATGTTACAGTATCTGCCTGAGGAGGACTTCTCTTATGACATGAATATAAACATTGATGTTCACTTGTCAAAAACAATTAGCATCTTTAATGAAGAAATTGGCTGCATTTATGTTACGATAAGCAGAAAAACCACATCTTCCAGATTACAGTGTTTGTTAGAATATTAGTGCCTCACAGAATCTGTACAGTATGTGTCAAATATAAAATTAAATAACTTGTATCATTTGTGAAAAACATGTTAACGCCTCAATAACTACTTAAGCGTTACCATGTCATCCCGCAGGAACTACTAGTGATGTGGCCCATTATTTTAAAGTGAAAAACATGTTAACTCCTAATTAACTACTAGCGTTACCTTGTGTAAACATTGCGGGATGACAAGGTAACGCTTGTAGTTAGTTAGGAGTTGTCCTGCGCTGTTTGTTTTGCTGCATAGCCTATTGACCGCTTCGCAAATCGTCACCATCTAACATTTTCGTCATTCAAACCTAGTTTTTATTTAGTTATCGTCTCGTTTTCATCTTTGAAAAGATGTGGTTGACGAAAATAATTACAATCAACGAAATAAACACTGTTTTGAATCTAACGGTCAAAATGACCGTTTGTGGCCGTTCTAGTAGTTTTGGAATTCTGGCACTTCTAGTGTTAACATATAACATACAGTATGTAGGTGTGTGTGTGTGTGTATAGACTTCAAATATGATCGGTAGGACTCAAATATGTATTTTATTTTTTTTAAACATGCCAAGATAAGACCTGCGAGTGATGTCTAGTCTACCTTTACCTAATTTGGTTAAGTCCACTGGAAACTTCAGAGTCCATGGGCAACAACAGAGAACAACTTGCCTGAACTTTTCATTCCACTGGCATATTCTCTTTCACTCGTAATTTGCAACGTTTGTGATGTCTCCAGAGAGCCGTTTTAACATACATAGCAAAGCAAAACATGCAAGGAAAATAGTCCATTGCTGTTGACTCACAAGTTGCTTGTCTTTTTGGTACGATCTCTCCTTTCCCAGAGGATAGGACTGAACTGTTATGGTGGAAGTTTCCCAGGTTCCTTACTTTGGATAATAAAAGAGTACGCATGGTTGAGCCTCGGATGTGTCCCAGTGCCTTGGCAACTTCAACTTTTTCAGAATGTTTCTGCTTTAGATGTCTTGCAATTTTTAGATAAGGCTTCTCACAGTAAAGACAGTAGTTCTTCTTGTCATAGATGCGTTGATGTACACTGTTTGAGGACATTTTCACTGTGATATTATGTTGTTGATAGCTACAGTCATTGGCACTTTCATCAATTTCCATCCAAGTCTTCTTAAGTGGTTTTCTTCGGATACCTTCTGCTACTTGTCCTTCAGCTTTTTTTATTTCTTCTTCTTCTTCTTCTTCTTCTGACATTTCCAGGGTAAGGGAACCCTGTTGTTCAGTGTTGTTTTGAAATACAGAAAGACACAACTGAAATGTATTTGCAAATAATAACAATGTTATAAATTAGTAATTAACATATATTAATAGTCTATGCATGATTCATGTAATAAAACCCCTAATTACCATTTCAGACTCATATAATTCCTCCTCAGTGTGAGAAGATGAATCCATCACGCCACAGAAAACACTTTCTGGCTTATCACTGTCAGTACTCTCTAGAATGTCCATCTCATCTGATGTTTGGGGACAGCAATCAGCTGTATGGGTTCTGTCCTGTAAAACAATAACAGTGTAACAATGTAACAAATTTCTCTGATTTAAGGTCTGTTTTATTTCTATCTAGAGCCTGCTATTTATCTCATGAAATTGAGTCTTAGGGGGCTTTCACACTTGGTTCGATTGCCTGTTCTGAACCCGAGTTCAATTGCTCCCCCCTCCCCCTGATGGACTGTGTTAACATTATATATTTGTATCCGAACTGCGGTCTGCTTGCGTCATCAAGCTGCAGCTGGCGCATAAGCATGTTGCTTAGCAACCGCTATGAATGAAAAGGCTTTGGTTTTGTTTTGAAAGAAAAGATATAGAAACACACTTGAGTCTGTCTGTCGCAAAATGCATACGACCACATTATACGTCATCAATAGCGGTTCACTTCCTCGGTTTGGTTTAAACGCGTTCATATCAGCAGCGAACCGTACTGGAATTCACATGAACAGTACCCCAGACCACCTTTTTAAAGGGGTGATGAACTGAGAAATTAAATTTTCCTCGAGCTTTTGACATCTAAGAGGTCATCATATTATAAGAATATCCTGTAAGTTTCAGAACTGAAAAAGTCCTTGTTAGTCCAATATAAGCTTTTATTGACACCAGCCCCTGCAAACGACTCGTTTTTAAAAGTGGGGAACTATGACGTCAAAGAGGATAAAACACCGCCCCCGCAGAAGAAGATCAAGATCAATTGTCTCTCGCCATTGACTACCACACATATTTTTTCCGAAATAAGGTCCCATGATCCGGAAGCAGAGGGGCGGGAGTTAGGCTCTCTATTTCATTGAGGATTGTTTTGTAAACAAGACTGGATTTGCAGACCGATTAGGAGTAAAGAACGGTGCTGTGCCGTCTATATTGGATCTGACAGGAATTGTGCAACACACAGACTCTGGGTCGAACATGTATGGGCGAATTATTCCGGTTGCCATTTTACAACATTGGACGTTTTCAAAACAAATTTCCCCACGTACACCGACGAGGTGAGTTGAAAAACTCATTATAATATGCAAAACTGTTATCCACTCACAGCAGTGGGCGTTTACTTCCAAGTCTTCAGCGTGAAAAACCCATTAAAAACGAGCGTTTCTGAGCTGGTCTCAAAACTAGGGTAGAAAATAGCTTATTGGTTATTAATTTTGATGTTTTTGAATGCAAAAACCAAGCGAACGTCATAAGTTCACCTCAGAAAACAATATAATAAAATTTAAAAAGCTAGTTCATGACCCCTTTAAGTGGACCCAAGTATGGTTCACGGGTGCGCACCCAAGTTCGGAAGACAGCAATCACGTCATCCAAACGAACCGAACTTTGACGTCATTCAAACCTAGTGTGAAAGCCCCCTCAGAATCATTGTTGTCTTTTTAGTCTTCAACCGTTTTTACTTGAAATACTTACTTCATTTTCATTCACATTGCTGTTGTTGTTTGTGGTTCCAGACTGGTGTATGAAACCTGTAAATACACAACAATTGTCATGTATATCCAGTCATTTAAGGATGTTTTTTTTACTACATTCTTGTAAAATCTACAATGTTTTATTAATAAGGTGAAGAGAAGAGTGGAAGTCTTGGAACATACATGTGAAAGACTGAAGGCATTCCTCAATGGTGGGACGTTCTTCAATCGATTTAGACAGCATTCTGCTAATAATATCTTTTTGTCTTGTCCATCTTTCTTCACATTGAAGAGTGAAGTTACCCATTCTGACATTTAAAGATAGCCCAACTGGATCCTTTGAGTAGGGTGTAGTTGTCTGATAGGGGTGTTGCCCATCCGTCAGGATGTAATGCACCAAGCACCCTGCGACCTACGAAAATAAAAGATTATTTCATACAATTATTTCAGTAATGGTCACAACTAAAGTGTACAGAACGAATAAAGATGATTGAAATAATATTAGCTGAAAGATGATCTGATTATTAATTAGCATTCAGGACAATTGAACATAGAACAAGTGTAGGCATTTTGGCAGAACTGATGTCTATATATTTTCTTTTGAAAAAATCATAGTGGTCACACTAAAATAGTATTATAACTGCCTACATGTAAACTTTTAATCTACACCGCCCCGACCTTACATCTGCAACTGAAAATAAGCAATACACAGTGGGGGTCTTCATCGACTTGAGCAAAGCATTCGATACCATATATCCCAGTTTGCTATTGTAAAAATCATTCAACTCTGGCATTGGGGGTCTGACTCATCAATGGCTCAAAAGTTATCTCGATAATCGACAGCAGTTTGTTCAAAGTAATGGTCAAAAATCTGAGTTAAAACACATAATGGTAACACTTTATAATAACTGCACGCTAATTATCATTAGCTAAGCATGAGTAAACAGTTAATTCATCATTCATAAAGCATTAATAGACATTAATATGCAGTTTATAAATATAGCTATACATACTTTTTTCTTGATTTATAAGCATATCTATAATGCGTTTAATGCTTGTATTTTCATACTTTGTTAATGATCAATTAATAATTTCTAAATGAAGTATAGCATTATTTACAAACCAGTTGTTTAAGAGTTGTCAGTCATTCATAAGATCACTTAGAAAGAGCAAGTAAAATAAAGTAAATACAGGTAGTTATAAAGCATTTAGTAGTGGTCAGTTAACTTTTTTTGTGAGCTAATCTAAAGTGAGGACTATTCATGCTTTGTAAAGCATTTATAAAGGTGATTTAAAGACTCGATCTTCTAAACAGTAAAAAGTAACAAAAAAACGCAGTGATACAGAACATAGAAATATTTAACAGCCTTTAAAAATGCTTTACAAGGCATGATGGTTTACTCATGCTTAACTAATTATTATTAGCGTGTAGTTATTATAAAGTGTTACCCACATAATATGTGGAGTTCCACAAGGGTCCGTTTTGGGTCCATTACTTTTTATTTTGTACTTTTAAAGATATTACAATGTTTGATGTTTGCCGACGATACTAACATTTTTCACTCTGGAAATAATCCGTCAGAAATTACAGAAAATATAAGTTCAGAAATGGTAAAAATTAAGAAATGGTTTGACAAAAAACAATTATATTTAAATTGGGAGAAAACAAACTACATGATTTTTGGTAATCGTAAAAATAGCAATTGAAGGAACTGATATTGAAAGAGTTCATGCGATAAAATGTTTAGGCTAGGTGTTGTTTTGGATGATAAGTTGAATTGGAAAGATCACATAGTTTATATTAAGAGTCAAGTTTGTAAAAGCATTGGGGTCTTGTAAAGTTAAAGATGTTTTTGACGACTCTTCAGTGCATATGCTGTACAATTCCCTAATACTTCCAGATTTTGGATACTGCACAGAGGTCTGGGGTAATACATACCCTAGTAACACAAAACCTATATTTTTGTAACAAAAAAAAAGCATTAAGGATTATCAGGCTACAAGATTAAGATTAATTTACATCATCAGGCAAGACAGGCTATGGAGAACACACCAATAGTTGATTTGTAAGTTCTAGACTCCTTAAAAAAGAAAAAATAAATAAAAAAAAAGGTTTATTTGATTTGAAGATTTTGATTGTTGAGTGAAAAGCAAAGCAGAGAGTTCGGACTAGGGTGTAACAAAATGTATTCACTCTCATATCAGAGGAAGATGGCCAAAGGCGGCAATATTATTTTACAACTTTTTTTGCACGTACTACAAAAACAGAAGAATTTGTATAAGAAAAAAATGCAGGAATGTTACAAAGAAAATTATGTTAATGGTGATAATTAAGTGTAAAGACAGGTATTACTGAAAATATTTGGTGATTAGAGTGAGGATTAATCCATTAATAAAGCAGCTATTTTTCTGTTTGTTTGTTTTTATGTGCACAAATAGCGACAGATATTACAAGATCATTTCTTCTTCCTGTTCCTTTTTTTTCCGTTCATGGAAACAAAACAAAAATGTTGTATGTTCTACTTGCTTTATGTTAATTTACAGTGACAGCTGGATGTTCATGTAAGCAGTGTTGGTTAGTATCTGATTACATGTTATCTGGATTACATATTTGGCTCTCCCTACTACTTTCTAAAAAGCTTATATGTTCAGAAGCTCTTCAGTTTTGTGGAACTGCACAACTGACTATTACTGAAAACTGATACAGCAATTGATCACTGGATTTACAGAAATTGTTTAATTTCACAGTGTTTTCTCAACATTGCAACACTGCATATCGAATCATCTCCTGACGAACATATTCATTATTTGAATCGTCACTCATTTAACCTCATATTACCGTCTTTTGAAAGTCTTTCAAACTGAATAAAATTACATTTTCTATGAATTAATCATTTTAAAGAGTTTTATTAAACTCACAAACTCCTGCAATTCCATCACAAACCCCAGTCTGAGAAGACCTAATGCAATAGTTAACACACTTGAGAACAATTTATATATATATTTCTTTTTTCTTTCTCATTGTATTATTATCAATATGGTCCAAGATTATCCTATTGAAATCAATGCGGTAAATTAGTTATAAATTAGGCAAAATCAAAAGTAATCAAAACGTAGTCCAATTACATTACCTAAAATGATTTAGATTACAGGATTGTACATTATTTGTAAATAATTTAATGAATTAAGTTATTGTAAATTATTGTAAAAAAAAAAAATAATTAAATTGTAAATTATTTAGATTATATCACTGACTCCAATTTGTGTCATGTAATTTGGAATCAGTAACTGAGTAGGCCTACAGTATTAACATTATCTACCCAGCACTGTAAATAAGGAATTTCATGGAACATCATAATTGCATTTGTTTCAGTTTTGGACTTTCCACATGAGGTCAGAGTTAATCTTTTAATGAATGCAAAAAACAATACATGCGAGTGTTTAGTGCACTATACCAGTGGTCTTCAAACTTTTGTGGGGTTTCCTTTCTGTCAACTTGTTTTTGGAGCAAAATTAACTAAACTCAGCATATTTGTGCACAGTTTTTTTCTTTCATTTAATTAACTTGTTAATAATTTAAATCAAATATATTTCACATTTTTATTTTATATAAGCCTATAGACAATTTTTTTAGACTATCACTATTTTTTTTTCGGGTTACACTGATTAATTTAGGACAAAACAGAAATAAATAATAGTCCTCTCTAAAATATGAATTAAATATGAGAATCCATCAATATTTCGCCAAATATGCTCATTTTTGAACTGAAAGCTCAGAGGAATTTTGGTGGTCCCTAAGTAACTCTGCAGCTACATGTCAACCAACTGTAATAACAGTAGACTGTCTGCCTAATATCGGCTAACACTTTATTGTGATGAACCCCAAAAGCCATTATGCTGACTATATGCAAATACATGCAATTAATTAAAGAACACTTCAATATGCCGGCATCCTCCCACAAATGAACAGGTTTTAACGAGATATTTTCTATCCATACCTGGATATCTGATTCTTTCTTGTATTTGTATTGCATGCCTCCAACATCTTCATAACTTGACCAAGGCATTTGAGCGAGAAGTGTGGTTAGTGCCAGATTCAGTTTTCTGCTTGCTCCAAAGTCTGCGATGTACAGTTTGTTGTTGATATCTGTAGAAAAGTAAAAATGCTTTAACACTTTAACACTTAAAGGGATAGTTCACCCAAAAATGAAAATTCTGTCAGTATTTACTCACCCTCATGTTGGTCAAGCGCAGTCTCATCCCAAGACGTCATATAACTGACGTCTGGGGAGGTCTTTTGACCATACGTCAACATCCGCCGTTTTAGGTTACTCTTTAACATCGTTTAGATGACGTTATCAGATCCTAACCCTACCCCAGACCTAAACCTACCCAGTCACCTAACTGACGTTAAAGGTAGAGCGTCAGTTGTGTGACGTCCCAGGATCGTCATGTAACTGACGTTAAAGGGTACCCTAAAACGGCGGATGTTGACATATGGTCAAAAGACGTCCCAAGACGTCAGTTATATGACATCTTGGGATGAGACTGTGTTAGTTGGTCCAACCCCGTAAGACCTACGTTCATATTCAGAACACGAGTTAAGATATTTTTGATGAAATCTGAGAGCTGGATCACTCCTCCATAGGCTTCTTCAGGGATTGAAACTTGTTTCTCGAAAAGTTATTAAAGGAGAACTCCGGCGCAAAATGAACCTTTGGTCAAATTACACATTGGTACCTAGTCAACCGTTATCTGAGATTTGTTTTCATGATTGCCGAATGTAAATAGTTTTATCTCTAAAAACAGTTTAGCCTATAACGCTAGTATAATGCTAGTATATAGGGCATAGAGTAATCACAAGTAAAAATCGCTTGTTATTACCACTAACAAGGCTCAAAATAGCCCCACAGTAACACGCTAGCATAATAAGGGTCACTACATTCAAACCAAAGCATTGAGAACTTTGTCAGTGTCCATACCGTTTAATAAGAAGATATTTTATACACACAGTCAACTTCGCGAATACAGGAAGAAGCCATCTTTGAAAAATAGTCTCTACCAGTCGATCTACGAACGCCGATCCAAGTGCACTGAACTGTGCAGAATCTCATATGGTCCGTTGTTTCCGGAAGAAACACAAACACGAACCATTTTCTTCTCTTCAATATGTACACGTAGCCTACTGTTCGCGCTCACCTTATCACCTTATTCACATCTCACCAGCGCACTTGGATCAGCGGTCGTAGATCGACTGGTAGAGACTATAAAATATCTTCTTATTAAACTGTTCTCAATGCTTCTGTTTGAATATAGGGACCCTTATTATGCTACCGTGTTAGTTTGGGGCTATTTTGAGCCTTGTTAGTGGTAATAACAAGCGATTTTTATTTGTCATTACTCTATGCCCTATATACTAGCGTTATACTAGCATTATAGGCTAAACTGTTTTTAGAGATAAAACTATTTACATTGGCAATCATGAAAACAAATCTCAGATAACGGTTGACTAGGTAACAATGTGTAATTTGACCAAAGGTTCATTTTGCGCCGGAGTTCTCCTTTAAAGACATCGCTAAAATAGTCTGAGTGACTACAGTGGCTTAATCCTAAGTTTATCAAACGACGAGAATACTTTTTGTCCGTAGTGAGTTGATCTGTTTTTGTACATCACAGCTCTCAGATTTAATCAAAACTATCTTAATTTGTGTACCGAAGATGAACGAAGGTCTTACGGGGTTGAAACAGCATGAGGGTGAGTAAATACTGACAGAATTTTCATTTTTGGGTGAACTATCCCTTTAAAATGACATCCACATTATAACATGCTTACGCATTTTAACTGGAAATTTCTGCTGATATTGCAGGATAATTATGGTTAATCCACAGACTGCTCTTACCAAACAAAATATTTTTAGGCTTCAGGTTTCTGTGCAAAATTCCATATGAATGTAGTTCCTGAAGTCCTTGCAGTAACTCCTGGCAGATCTCTAGTCTTCGATTCTCTTTCAGGCCTTTTCTTTCAGGAAAATCCTTGTTTTCAATCAGCTCCATCAAATTATATTCACAAAGAGGTGAGACAAAATAGGCAAAGTAAGTGTCTTCCAACACTGAAATGTGTTGCAGAAGGTGCTTTGCTTGTACATTTTTTGTACTCAGGAAATGAGCCATTTCCATTTCAGGTTTGGAAACATGTTTGGCGACTCGTTTCACTGCAACTTTACAGTTGTTGAAGACTCCTGGGAAAATCTCAGCAGCATTGCATCCATTTGCAATCTTCATTTCGGTGTTGATAACAAGGTCATCAATTTTCATCACACCAGGCTTTAAATCAAGGTTTACAAATGAATTCTTCCATCGTGATTCCTGTAAAATGCATAAAAGCATTTAGAAAATGCATATTTAAATGTAAAAAATGTTGTACAGTGTATATACACTCAGCTAAAGGAACAAACCTCTCTATATATATTTACCATATTTTCCTTGATCTCTCTGAATGTGGAAGTACTGGTTTTCTGAAACAAATGACATTAAAAGCATGCATCAATATTTAGGGTATTGAGGCATTATTTTAATCATGGTGATACAGATTTCAGTTTACATCAGATAATTAATTTAGTTATCATGAACCTATAACAAACTGCACTGTTACAGCATTTATTAATCTTAGGTCATGTTAATTTAAGCATTTAGTAATGCATAATTAAAATCAAAAGTTTTATTTGTTTGCATTGCAAATTTACAAAATTTGCCACAAATATACTAAAAATAAGATATAGAAATAGAAGTTGAAATACCCGTCTCCATGGGCAGTTAGGATCTCCGAAGTCATAGACAATTTCTTCTCCTGCGTTGATTTTTGTTAACGCAAATACACACAGATGTGGCATTTTCTTTTCATCCATTATCTGTTGGTCACAAAAGTACACAAACACACATCTGAAAACAACTACAACATCATTTGAATAGTCCCCTAGTTTGTAATGTCAAATAATGCTACTATCAAGATGAGGCTGTATTAAAGGAGTAATTAAAACAAAGAATAAGACAAAGAATACATAGACTTACTATTTTAATTTTGCTGTTTGGCTTGACGTGATCATTATTTATGAATCTTCCGAGTCTTTCTGTATCTTTGCTGCCATCAACACTGTATGGTGACATTTAAAAACACTGTATATAAACATACCATAATATCATAATACTTCATTAGAACATTCATTCATTTAATCTTACCAGCAAGATTGTCCCTGAAAGGAGTAGAAATATAAAAAAAATGCATCTTCAGCCGAGTAGTCTTTGAACAGGGCCTCTCCTTCAGATTCAGTCATGTGTCTTCCAACATACTCCAGCAGGAATTCTCCAGGCTCAATATGTTTTGTGGTGATTACTCCAAAACCTAATAAATAGAGTATAAATATGAGTAAATTAAGTATGATAAAAGATTCATAAAGTTGTTTTAAATGGTAGCCTTGCTTGGAAAACTACGATATCTACATCTTTATGAAAGTGAAAAACTACAAAACTCCTATGTATCATGACACTAACAATGGAAATGATGAATATTTAAACAGGCCCCTTGCAGTCTAACTAGTTACATACAAATAATATCAAGACCACTCACACATCTACATGTTAGAGTTTAATTTAGCGACATCTGCAGGAAAGTTTAGCATAAATATGGTCAGGAAAACAGATATAAATCCACCTTTAACTGATACAAGACAAAAAAACACATGATGGCTTCATCTTGAGTGTTCTAGCAACACATTTTAAACCCAACCATTAGGCATTATTTAGTGACCAAACTTAGTTTAATTAAGTTTTGCAAAGTCATACTGATGGCAGAGTTGTATGTCGTGAGTTACCTCTCTCTTCAGATATGAATTTTTTCTGAAATGTGTCTTTATCTTTCCCAGAAGCAATGAAGTACAAGGCATCCTTTTCAGGAGAAACTCTCTGGGGTCTCATTTTCCTGTGAAATATTTAAGAATATTTTATGTAGTATATACTGCATTTGCTAAGTAAAAAAATAATAAATAAATAATTATATATATATATATATATATATATATATATATATATATATATATGTGATTTGTTATATATATATATTTTTTTTTAGATTTAAATTTTTAGAATTGCATAGACAAATTATTGAAAAGATGACAATGTGGGTGAAAATTTACGACATTTTTTTTCCTTTTTATATCAAGTATTTCAAAAGAATCATCTTAAAAAAAAACAATGACTATCAATAATACCAATCTGAATGCACATTACATAAGAGGATGCAAAAACATTTTATAATATTAGCATTTACAAATCATCATAAAATGAAGTTTGAATATGCAACTTACCTTTTACTTCGGAAAGAAAACAAATGAGATGAGAAACGGCTCAGTGCGCTTTTTCTTAGGATCTTGTAGGTAGATAAGTCTTTAAACTATAACAGAAAGATAATTCTCCAATGTAAGACACAATCTTGTAGAAGTCTTCTTAAGCTGTGCTCTTCCAAATGGCAAACAATGAAGTGTGAGTTCATGCCCAGAATAGAGAGATATGCATTCTGCTATCTGAGCAGTGATTGGGCCATCAGATAAACCACGATTTGCCACCATTACTATTGGTTCTGTTATGCAAATGTATGCATCTGTGATTGAAACCAAATAGCTAGTTCAAAATAAGGGTGGAATCCATTGGTAAATTGGTTTTAAATCCAGTTGTAAACATCAAAAAGTCCTTTTCATAATTAGTACTTCATACATCATAATTACTCACATTTTTGTATGCATTTTAAATAGAGCACAGAACCCAAACCTATATATCAATGGCAGAAAAAAACATGATAAAGTTAATAAAGAAAAGTTCAAAAATAATTTCAAACTATGGGATGGTGCAGCATTTAAAGAAGGTAGGCAAGATAAAATTAATTTACTATTTAAAAGATTTTAAAAGACAGGAAAAAGAAAATTACCACGATGTAAAAAATAAATAAATAAAAATCTGCACAATGATGTTATAGGGACATAGCAGATTACCATGGGCATTCATATTTATGTTGGTTTAACTTCATACCACATCTGAAAAGAAATATCATACCAGTACCTCAATTGTTTTAAGTAGATAGGATGACTTGTTTTTTAAAGCATGTGTATTTTTAGGTCTAAGGTAAAACTTTCACAGTCTGGTCTTTGAAGCCGTTCTCCATAGAGATGCAAATGTCCTGCAGGTAGTGGGGGTTGCGACTCAGTCCACTCTGAAAACACAGCAGTGAGAAAGATCTGATCACAGCCATTTGGATATGTTTCAATCAGCTCTGTAATTTAGTACTATACAGTCAAGTCACACCACATGTATATATATATATATATATATATATATATATATACAGTATATGAAGAGTTCAGATGCAAAAGCCTCTAAATGCCATTTGAAATTTTCTTCTTTAATGATGATTTTTAGCAAACTTGTATATTTAAGTTCAGTAATTTCACTTAAATAACAATTAATAGGTAATTAGCATTGCCATTTAAGTGAAATCACTGAACTTAAATATACAAGCTTGATAAAAAATGATCATTCTAGAAGAAAATTTCAAATGGCACTTAGAGGCTTTTGCATCTGAACTCTTCATATATATATATATATATATATATATATATATATATATATTAGGGGTGGGCCGTTATCGGCGTTAACGTGCTGCGTTAACGTGAGACTCTTATCGGGCGATAAAAAAAATATCGCCGTTAATCTATTCTCACAGTTGAATTGGGAGCTGACTACACCACGCAAGCTTTGATGACTTTCACTTTGATATTTTAGCGCAGATGAAGTCAAATTGCACTGTAAGGGCCAATTAAAACCAATATATTGAAACGTCTGTTTATCCAGACATTAGGAAAATATCAGAGATGCATTTTATATTTAATATGAGGGAAATACACATCCGTAAAAGGGGTCGCACTCATCACACACCGAACGAGAAGCGTTCACTTCATGCGTTTTCTCAGATCGGATAGCTATCTGATTTATCAAAACGATTCAATTTACACCTGGTCACATACATGTGTTTTTGCAAAACGGATATAAATCCGATCTTCAATTCCCCCACGCACGCTATATTTTTTGATTTAATGAAGTGCACGTCACCGAAAGCAACATGAGCTGCATTTTGATCATCGGCTAATTTCAAAATCAGCAAAGACAGCAATAAGAGAGAGTGGCAACCTGGTAAGATCATTTAGTTTCTTTACTTTTAATGAAGATGGTAGTGTAAGTGTCAGCGACTTTACTTTCACTTTGATTTGCGATAGATTGTGGCACGCTGGTTTGATAGGCGTTCAGCTGCTCATCTGAGGTGATGCGCATCGCAGTAGCGCCGTCACCGTCATATCTGACTAAAATAACATGACATATGGCCTATAACAAGTTCTCGCACATTTATTTTTTTTTAGCATTTTTGGGAGTAGTAACATTTACATATGTGGTTTCAACAACCAGATGCATTTACACATGTCCAGTTTCGTCTGGAATGTGGCCAAGACTACCTTCTGATGTGGTTTGAGTGATCGGAGTTTCGGATGGCATTTACAGAAAACGTATGATATGAAGTGATTTCAGAGCATCCGTTAACTGAATTGATTGAGAATCTCACCTGAAAATCCAATAACATCAGTAACTGTCATTCAAGCAGCTGATTTCTGTATTATGCAATGCATTAGGCCTATGCATTCATCAGATATTTCATCCCTCTCTATTTATTTGTATTGTAAGAAAAAGAGCTTCCCGGGGACACTACAAAATAATTCATTTCGTGTTACATAGAAGAAAAGTAGATCAAATGGGTTTAGAATTACACAAGAAAACCTTATGAAAACAACAACAACAACAAAAAAACCCCACCGATTTAGTTATTATTTCGTGCTGTTTAAAACTAGGGTTGACAATAGAATAAAATAATTATGATTAATCTCATTATTTATAATAATATGAACATTTCAGTGTTAAATCTTGTATAAAACATATTTAGGCCTAATTACAAACTACCTGCAAGGTTATTTATTTGGGTATAGCACACGCCTTTGGTAGAATTCAAATGAGCCATTTTAATCTAGATTAATTTCAAAATTAATCTAGATTAATCTAGATTAAAAAAAATTAATCTATGCCCACCTCTAATATATATATATATATATATATACACACACACACACACGTTTATACATCAGTGTATATACATTTAAACACATTAACATTTTCCAAGACAGCCCTTGTTTTAGCAGGTGGTGG